AATGCCGAGATGGAGATCACTGACGACGCTGGAGAAAAAGTTGCAGACAAAGCAGAAGCAGAAGGAAAGAAGGAAGTGTCATCTCCGCAAGGTGTTTATGATTTATTAAATCTGAAAACGTGTCCTAATATTCTGCTGAAGAGTGTGAGAACTTATCCTGAAAACGAAGATGCTTCCATGTTATGCGAGTCGAGTAAAAACGAAGGTAACCAAGAACGCCTCTCAGGTGTGTACAAGTATCTGTTTAACGAGATGGAAAATAGAAATGAGACTGATAAAAGATTCGAGAAGAAGTCGATTAGTTCCCATGAATTGCTGCATCTGGAAAAAATTGAGGAAGCTGAAGAAGGTATAGCACGATCTTCGAGTTGTGTCGATATGACTCTCTCGGACAGTGATACTGCAAAATTGGTCAACGAGGACAAATCTGTTCGCATAGAAATATTAGAAGCAAGTCCTAACATCGAACCTGTCAACTCTGTTGAAGATAACGAATTGGACGAATCTCTAAAGATTAATAATTACGCGATTGATAATAATAATATGGGCGAAGGAATCAAAGAAGAAGCAGATGAAACTTCAAATGTCCCGGAAGAAAATAATTTCGGTGAAAACCAAATAGGTGACAGTCAAAGAACTGTCAAAGTGCGGAATGATAGCAACGAAACGCAGTCATCGGAGACCCAATCCGCAACCTCTATGGAATTACCTTCGCACATGGAAAAGTCGATCCACTCTACGAAATCGCAAAAAAGATCGCGTGATGGGAAATCTCAGGACACGGCCAGGAAGAAATCCCATTTAATCGAAGAAATGGACGCCGAGAAAGACAGAGGCGATCGAGAGACAGGCAATAAGCTGACCGAGAAATGCAGACGGCACTTCATGGAAGAGGCAAAGAAATTCGTGAAAAAGGAATCGCCCCTGATCGACAAGTGCATAGAGAACCTGCTGACGAATAGGAATCCCGAGGGAAAATGGAATCTAAACCGCGGTCAAGAGGATTTCTTAGCTTGTGCATCCTTCAGTCCCTTCTTTGATAAAACTGTAGAGGACTCGGAGCAGATGGTCTCGTCACCTGGACGATCTCAAGTGAAATCGAAAGAGATTGACACCCAAGACGATGCCAAAGCTAATCGAGAGACAAAGGATTCCTATCTGTGCTCTCTTCAACGATCAGGTACGAGCTAGAGTAATTAACACGTTGATTGCCAACTACTAGTAGGTTGTTTACTTGCCTAGATCGCCTACTATGAGTTATCTGATCCCTTCATTATTCGCCATATTGGTACAACGACAAGGAAATCCGTAGTATAACAGTAGTATAATTCAAAAAGAAAAAGTTTATACAAGTTTATTCACGCGGAATAACATTTTCATGGTACGTGATAATTTTTAAAACAATCTTGCACGCCAACTACGAAATAATTCGTAACATATTTAAAAAAAAAAAAAAAAAAAAAAACATTTTTCAACCTTTTTGATTATTACTATAAATAAAGTTTTTAATAATGTAACATGATTAAATCAAATTAGCTTCTTAGCCCGGAATCGTGAAAAGTTGCGTGACAGTCAACGTGTTAAATAAAGTATCTGAGGATTCTTTAATTATTTAAATTTTACCGCCAATTTTATTTCAGACATGGAGTCAATCGTGGAGCTTCTGAAGGAACCCCAGACCCCGGAAAGATCGTCTATGAAAATGTGTAAGGATCTGTACAAAGAATTCTGCGAGCACGTGGAACAAGAGAACAGCAAAAGGAAGCTGCTGATCGAGCCAGACTTCATGAAGAGGGTAGCTGAAGAGGAAAAGAAACCTGACGTTCTATCGTCAAGGGAGACGAAACAGTCGAACGAGGTAGAAACAAAATCGTTGATCGAGGTGGTGTCAGAGGATTCGACGAATGTAAACGAGCTGGGAGAATTCGAAGGATCACCGGTTGATCCCGAAGACCCTGCGATGGACGCAGCGTTGAGAGAGAAGATATTGAAAAGCATAAATGCCCCGAAAAGCGACGAGCAGAGGGAAAGGGGAAGAAAATCTGCCGACAAGTTGATGAAGGTTTCCAGAGAAGCCATGGCCAAGGGAAAATCGATGCTCGAGGAACCTTCCGACATCTGCAATCAGAAACGAGTCAGTGATCATTAACTTCGAGTGATCTTTATGATTTATCTTCTTTTATTAATAATACAATATTATTTCCAGTGTTTCGACGACAGTAGGGCATTTTTCATGAACCTGCTGAAGGAAGATTCGCAAGACAAGATGGAGGCTAACGTTGATCCCCCGAAGAGCATCGACGAGAAACCCATAACCACCATGGATAATTCGAATTTCGTCTCGGAACCTGAAGAACCTACGAAATTATCGTCAACGGAGGGTGTCGATATCGCCGATAGCATAATTCGGGATAATAAAGTCCTCGACACGGAAAAAGAAAATGGCGGTAGGGCGAGGAAGAGCTTGGAAATGCAAGTCGTTCAAGGAAATTGAACGGAAAACACGAGCCACGATGTTTCAAGAAAATGTTAGCATTTAATGAAAAGAAATTCTCGAGATAATTAACTTCGCACGTCTTCGAAAAAGGAACGAAAAAAATAGAAAAAGAAAAAAAAAAGAATTCTTTTTAAAATCATAGATTCCGTAAGTTAATTTGTATCGGTGTGTTTCCTTCTTTTGTATTCAAATAAACGAATTAAGTTACGATTATTCATGCATCGAACCGTCGAAACGCATCGGCAAACGCACGGAACTGAGGAGATCGAAAGAAAAACGGGAACGTTCCTCTGTGTTCACGTGAAGAGTGACTCAAATACTTGGCGGATGGCAAAGTTAGACGGTGCTTCTACTACGTACACTTTATTTTTTTTTTTTTTTTTGTCCACACTCACATCAATTATATAATAATAATAACGATGATGGCGCCGATCTGGTGAACCATAATTAATAGTAAGAATAATTAATCTGTAATTATGTATAATGACAATCGGCTGCTTGCAAACGAAACAATAGTCTCCGACGTTCTTACGTTTTCGTCGTTCTCGAGGACACCAGAATTCCTGACGAAATGTCCCGTGTCCTCGCAAAGCTTGGCAAAAAGCTCGTGATACTTTTTATACGTTTATATAGAATGATATCGGAATGAAATTTTTTCCTTCCGTCGCAAATCGCGTCGAACCTCTCTTGTTCTCACTGTTTTTCGTCTCTCCTGCGTTTTCCCTCCATCTCTTCCTTCTCGCACCCCCTCACGCATTCATCCCGCTTTTATCTCCCATTTGTCAGCATTCGTGTCTCGTTTATCCCTGCTCGACCGTGTCCCTTTCCGTTTATCTCGTTTATCTCGTAACATACGCTATACGACGTTTTTTACCTTTTTTACGTTTATTTTCATATTTTTTTTTCTTTTCTTTTTATTTCGCGTGCTCTTAAGAACTAGCTTACTGCTCTCTGGCTCACCGCAGGAAGTAAAGAAACGTACAGATACATTATGCTCCACTGTTTCTATAATTATTACAATAATAGATTTATAAATGTCCATTTTCCCCCGTCGCAAACTCTCCCACACATTCTTCCACTCTCGTATCATTTCGCTTCATTTTCTCACACGCGACCAGACGAATTCAAACGTTCTCACACGTAATCGTACAGCTGCTTCGTGTTCTCTGGTGTCTCTTCTTCGTCTTTTTTCTTTTTCTTTTTTTTTCGGTTTTTCTTTCGTTTTTCTCTTTGATTCGCTTTCACACACGCACGCATTCGGTTGCTCCCTAATTGTAAATTATTTTTCTGAACTATACCGAGTGTCGAGGAAGCCGTCGTCGACTACCAGGGCCGGAAACGGGAGGCGTCAGAAAGAATCTATTCGACTGGCGATGATAAATACCGACTCGGATCGATAGGGGTAACGAAAATTCGGCATCCTCTTTTTCTTCTCCTGGGATCATCGATCAACCCTTCCTGGTCACGTCGTGTATACATCTCTTTGGGTTTATTTTTCTTTTTTTTTTTTTCCTTTTTTGCTTACTATCGTACTGTTATAATGTAGGTTGCTGTTTACTTTTGCCGCAGTTTAATTCATTATTTAATGCATGACAGCCCTTACACGTTTACGGCTTACGTTACGTTACAGAGAGAGAGAGTACCTTAACGTCTATGCTTTATTTATTTATTTTTTTTTTCCTTTTGCTTAATATTTCGTTTTAGTATTAAAGAGTTTCTTCCGGTTATTATCTGAAAAAAGATTTCTCGAGAAGCTCCGAACTCCTCTTCTCATCCCTCGAGAATTTTCGACTGGTTTTTCCCTCTATGTGTTTTTCTGCTCTCGTTTCCTTACCGCGATTTCAGAAGCTTGATAACGGCGACTTCGTGAGAGAAGATCGGGCGATCCCTCAGTTCTCCCTCGAACGATGTCGGATGCGGTTAAAATCGAACAGCACGATTGAACGAAAACGTAAGTACGATGGACCCAAGCAACCCGCCTGGCCCACCGGAAACGCGAGATACTCCGACGAATTTGCAATCACGCCGAGAAGAAACGAAGAATCGCGTGTCTCGATGGTGTTCGGGTAATATATGGGACAGCTGGCGAAAAGATTTCGAACCCCTTCTCGTTCGAACGCTTATCAGTCTTCTTTTGTATCTCTAGTCCGAGAAAAATAACGTCGATCCCGTTGATTCTTCGCGTATTCTTGATCCCTGTTTTCAGACGAGTCCTTCGCGTAACAGTTGTATGCATAGGTAATCCAAGGGATTTGTACGTGCCTCATACCGGTCAAGGTGCAACCATCTCCTCGCGGCTCCTGTGAACGATACTCGTCTTTGTACTACAATCTTGTTACATTGTTTTTTGTTTTTTTTTGGTTTTTTTTTTTTTGGTTTTCTCATAAGGAGGATTGTCATCGTGCGTTGGTGTTTTCGCGTCACTGCTTGCGAAACGTTCAACGAAATTGCACCGTTAAAGTAAGGTTTATCAAAATATAAATGCTTCGATATGTAAGACGTACCGTTGGATCGTCGTTGATCGCGGGACGGTAGGTTTGCGTGTCTCTAATTACAAATCAAAAGGTAAGCAATCGTTTGAGAAATTTCGCTCAAGTGATCCGAAATTATCCCATGCCGGAGGTCACAAGTGACAGGGGGTTGAGAGATTTGGAAGATTGGAAAAAGGCGGGAAAAGAAACGGTACGAATCGTTAGGCTAATGTCGTTTGACGTGTATGAAATGCACGAGGTTAACACAGAGACGTCGTTGTCGGGTATGTACGTGTTAGAATTTCGAATGGATCGGCGTGATTGCAGATTCGATCGCGGATAGCAGGGAAAGCAAAGGTACGCTACGTGTACGACTCGCGACGTGCTGAATTATTATAAAAATCGTCGGATTCCCGAAAGGGCGTACTTCTCGTCGGAGGATCGGTGAGAGTCTGTTGTCGAGACAGACTTCAGACGAAGCTCGTGAAACATCGTCAGGAGAAAGAAAAATTTCCAACGATCCCGATTTCAACTTACATCGTGCGAAGCAACCAATTTTCATGGAACGAAAGAATAAACGAAACGTGGAAATCTTGCATCGAGTAAAAAGCGACGTATCCTTCGTGTACGAATATACACACACACACACGTGTGTGTATATGTGAGTGTTTAAAATGGTAATAATAAATTAAAAAGAGAGAAAGAAAAATAAATTCGAAGTCATCGAACATTTTTGTGCTTTCTACCTCTGTGCTCGCTATTTCTTTGGCCCTGTTCCCTTCGTGATTCTCGTGTATTCGTGAGCCCATGCATAGAATTTCGCATCGGAAACCGAAGGCAAAATCTCGCCTGCATCTCTCGCGAGGGTCTCGAACGAAATCGTCATACAAAGTGTACTCGTCGTAGAATGTCTACAAAAGAGATACGAGAACAATTATTATGAAAAACGTTATCTTGTAAACAGTGTTAAAATCTTAAGATAAACAATGTAAGACTATTCGCAACAGTATCAATAGAAATGGATCTGACTAATAGGATGCGTAATGCTTGTTCCTTGGCCCGCCGATGGTTCTTCATTCGTCGTCCTCAAATTTAATACTATCGCGAATCATTTGGCAAAAGTCTCGCGTCGCGAGATTCTCGAACGCAGTCGTAGAAGAAAGACGAGAGAAAAGGAAGAAAAAATAACAAAAAAAAAAGAAAAAAAAAGAAAAAAGAAAAAAAGGAAAGATTATTTAGCCCGATATTAAATTTGACGACGAACCACGCCATTTTGCTGGACCGTGTCGAGAGGAAAAAAAGACGAATCTTCGCTGAACGGGCGTGGCTTAATTAATTTGCTAATTCCAGGCGAAAATTCCAAAGCTTTTTCTCCCTCTGACGGTCGGAAAAATCACTTTTGCGTACGCGCTACAATGGATAACAATAGATCGTTTATCTCGTCTCGGTGTGTTTTTCTCGCTTGTGCAACGTTCCTTGAGAAATTTTGCGACCGATTCCTCGAACACACGTTTCACGCGTTTATGTACATCATCGAATGGATATAATGCATCGTGATCGTGTGTATATATTTACGTGTATACGCGAGTGTATGTACGTGTGTGTGTCCGTGTCAGCGTTATGCAATTCGTGAATCGAAGATGCCTCGCTACGTTTTGCGTGTACACGCGGCAGGGGAGAAAAAAAAGAACGCAAAGAGGATACAATAGGAGTCATTGATGACTTCAGTCTTGCATAGAAATCACGCCAGGTTCGCTCTCAATATCGAATATTCGCTTTTCTCGGTTTTTTTTTTTTTTTTTTTTTTTTTTTTTTTTTTTTCTTTTTTTGGTCGATTCGCGTGTGTGACGTCTCTTTGGATTTCTACGCACAATTCTCTTCTATATTGAAAAAACGAGGCGGTATACAGATACAGCTATGGCGATAGCTAAGTGTACGAGAAACATTCATCAGGCGATATTCCTTAACTGCAGTTCCTGAATAAACACACTACGTCGCACGTATTATTATTATTTTTTTTTTTCATCTTCTAAACTTGATTAGCTACTTAATGGATAACGCGAATGCCTCCGGAATGTTGGACTTTCGAAAGAACCGTTCCGAGAACAGCCTTTATCTTCCATCCGAGTGTCTTCTTCCTCCGATCCTTGTCGCGTGCTAGCACAGACACCGTGAGAGTCGCGTTCCGTTTCCTGGATACCGATTTTCACCGGGAAAAACCATCCTCGCGCGTCGAGATCCATGGGGGGGTCTCTTCGTTCGACCAGGGTTCCTCGTCGATTCGTGAAAACGATTCATCCCCGTGACGTATCGCGTTGACGATGATTGACAGGGGCACCCACGAGGCACGAAACGCGGTTACAACGAGAACAAGGATCTCTAATCGAGTCCATGAAAAATCTACCTGCTTTTATTCAATTTTCGAGGAGAACACGGACTATTTTCCCTACGTTTTCTAAGGACAATAAAAACGCGGGAAACGCCGACTTCGTGGCCCCGTGAAAACGTCGTTCACGGGGGATGATACTCAAATGAGAGCTAGTCTAGCCGTCGATAATAATTTATTATTGTTATTGTTGTTATTATCATTATATATATATATACTTTTTATATATAAAAAAGTGATGAAATCCTTGTAACTATCTATCATTTAACAACGAAGACGTGCTTCCTCTGGGTAATCGTTTATAAGTTTTCAGATGAATGTACACTTTTACTCGAATCTCATATACTTCCGGTTCTTCCACTCCGCCTCTGGTGGTCCTTTCCATCCGCTTTCGTCTTCCATCAGCTGCCATTTAGTTTTCTTGTTCTTTGGCTATGTCCTGGCGTTTCGTTCACTTAAACAGCGTGTCACGCGTCAAGTGTCCCTTTGTACATAATACACGCACTATATATTATATTTATATATATCGTACTTTATATTAGCTCGTAACTTGAAAGAGGCAGTATTGCTGATGGCTTCTTGTCGTCCATCGTTAAAAGGAGTTACTAAAATGAGTTCCGCTGGCACGTCTCTTCATTTCTTCCCTCTTTTCTTCCATCTTTCCGTCATACGCCACGTGTGCTTGTCGACTTTCGCGTTGAAATAGGACCCAAAAATTTCAGTTCAGTGTCTCTGTCGGCGATCGATCGAGCGGGAAATCAACGGCGAGAAAAGACGAGAAACGTCGAATGAACGAGAACTATTGGCAAGAGGTCGGGGTGATAACGAAGAAAAAGAAAACGAGCGGTAAAAAAATAACCAAAACGCCACGTTTCATTTTTTCCAAGTACTTTTATTCACCTTATACTCTTACGACTTCAGGAAAAAAAAAAAAAAACTAATTCCCTTTTTTGCTTGCTTTCACGCTGTTGTTGCCGATGTCACAATCGATCCGATATATTATCACGGTTCCCCTATGCACTCGACTAATCAAACGATTAAAAATCAGCACTCGCATCCGTGTCTGTGGACAAAGAGAACTATCAACGAAAATAGTAAAGAAAAAACGAAACGAATGACGAACTGCTCCGGTTACACAGACTTCTGCGTTTTCTTTCTTTTCCCTTTGTTTTTTCGTTTTTTTCTTGCTTTTTTCTCTTTTTTTTCTTTTAATTGGTTTGCTGTTGCGCGTGCCTTTACTATGACTAGAGTCTTAATAAATCGTTAATTTTGCATACTACTCGTTGATAGTACATATATATGTGTGTATATATACGTACGTATATATTTTTTTTTTTTTTTTTGGTGTGTGTTTTTTCTCTTTTTTAAACCATCTTCTCTTTTTAAATATTTAAGTACCCTTCTTCCTTCATTTTGAACACCGTTGCAATGCTTCACGCGAACAATCGAGTTCTCCTTTCTCCTTCAATATTGGCTATGTTTTGCGTAACGTTTTGAAATTTCGCTCGAAACTATGGTAAAAATCGAAGGAAGAAGGCCTTCGTCTCGTATTGGCGCGGGGAAAAGATCGTTTTTTCAAATCTTGGTATTTTTTTTGCCTAATTGGTCGCTAGAAGATATGGAGGCGTGTGACATAAGCGCGATTAGTCGAAAAGAGTGATATCAAAAAACCGATTATAAACGTTATCGTTCAAGAAAGTATTTCCCATCTATTTCCTCGTAACGCAATGTAGAATAACGTCTTTAGAAACTCCTTAAAGACTTCTTGGTAGTCCCTTTAACAGTTTTTAATCAGATTACATACTTGTTCTGTTAGGAAAACAATTATTGGTTTTCGCGTTCCGGAAGCCACGCTTCTTCTCTTGCCGACTATAGTCGTTTCTTCATTTTTTTTTCTGGTTAATGATCTCAACAGGAACCAACATAGTGGTTAATATATTCGAAACAATTTACATAAAATCATGCAAGATCGCGATAAACACTACGCGTTATATAATGTCCTTCCTGATCGTGAGAATATTAAATGCAAACAAGAATGCAATAAAATATACGCAGAAATAGAACAATGGAAATAGAACAAAGAACCAGATTGGGAACAAATAGATATCAACGATAGCGTGGTCGCCGGAAAGCGATTGGACCGTAATCCTGCGGTACTGAACAAGTAGATTCACCGTTATCTCCTTAGATACTTATATATTAAATATTAATAATTATAAATTACAATCATCATTAATATTAATATTAAACATTATCATTAATATTATTACTTTAAATGCATACACAGTTTAAACACCTAGTTTCTTCGACAAAAAGAGGACAGAGAATAGATGAAATGGAAGGGAGGAACACAAGAGGTGACAGTGAATATATAGAGGGGGTGAGGGAAGATAGATAGAGAGAGAAAGAAAGAGAGAGAGAGAGAGAGAGAGAGAGAGAGAGAAATATGAAGGGAAAAGTCGAAGAATAATAATTAAAAACACAAGCGTACAAAGTGGTTGACGGAAACGATATAACGTGATAGGAAGAAACTGAAGAAAAGAAAGAACAAAAGAATAGGGGTGAAAGAGAGTTTGGTCTTGCGGTCCGTAGCTTCGATCCGTGATTCTTTGGGTCCTATTTCAAAGGAACTTCTAGGACGACTGTTTCGTCGAGAATACGTGTCTTCCTCGTACGTTCGAGGATTCTTCGGTGCTGGACCGACATGATAGAGAAAGGTGTGGGACTCTGCTTTGGCGAGAGTTAGGAGGAACTCTTCTCGATCTCGCTGTTTTCTAACTGGAGAAACAGAGGATAGGCTACAAACTAAACGATTACACGTTACATTTAAATATTCCCTTCTCTTCATAATTTATGCTGGTCCCTCGCGAGCGTGCATTAAATCCGCGGCGAGGCGAAGTACACAGGATTTGAGACATATTCGTTTTTCTTTTCTTTTCGTTTGTCATATTATGGTGTTGTCAATCGTACTTTTCTTTCGTTTTTTTTTTCTTTTTTTTTCTTTTTTTTTTGTGTGTTTCAGCGACGTCCTTTCAAACGCAATAATCCGAATTTCGATGAAAGATAAGCTGAAGGAACAACTTTGGAGTATCGTTAAATTTTTAATTATTTTATGTGGATTCTTGTTTTGATTCGCAATGGGCTGCGCCTTCGAGACCTTTCGCTCATTCTTGCATCTGAACTCGTTCACTCTCTAACAATCTCTATACCTCGACATTCACTCAATTTCTCAAACAGAAAAAAAAAAAAAAAA